TGAGCAAACACTCCCCCCAATAGGAGATTGGCAATTTAGACTGATGTAACAATGCTCTTGAAGTCTCCAAAAGGTGTCTAAGTTTCCTTTCAACAATGCCATTTTGTTGAGGGGTGGCAGTGCAAGAGGTCTGATGAACAATCCCATTAGAGGTAGAGAAATCAGAAATTATAGTGCCCCCTCCTAGTTCTAATGCATTATCTGATCTAACCATCTTAAATTTGGTGTTGAATTGTCGTTCAGTCATGGCTAATAAGGATTTCAACATGAAGAAAGCATTGCTCTTAGCACGTAACAAGTAGGTCCAGGTGCCTCTACTAAAGTCATCAACTATAGTAAGAAAATATTTGTAACCATTATGTGTGGGAGACCTATAAGGTCCCCAAGTGTCAACATGTATTAAATCAAAAATACCAGAAGATCTGATAGAACTCGAAGGAAAAGGTAACCTTGATTGTCTAGCTAAAGGGCAAACATCACATAAACAATTAAACTTAGAAGAAGAAGAGATGAAACTGATGTTTTTCATTGCAGAAAATGGTAAATGGCCCAGTCTAATGTACCAGAGTCGTACATCTGATTCTCTAGAAACAGAATCTGAAACAACAGTACAAGGAAAAGAGAAAACAGTAGGCCTAGAGACTAAAGGTGAAGGGGAAGTCTGTAGGAGAAAGATCCCATCCCTAGCTTTACCAAGAACCAGAGGGGTCTTCACTGAAGGGCCCTGCAAAAGACAAATGGAAGAAGAGAAAATAAGGAGGAAACTCAATTGTTTGCAAAATTTCTCTACAGAAATAAGATTGATCCTAAAACATGGGACATATAAAACATTATGAAGAACAAGATTGGGAAATAAAGAAACAGTCCCTCCATGAGTGACTTTGACCCTGAAAGAATTCGGCAAGTTGATAAACAGAGGAGTAGGTAAAGGTGAGATACTGGTAAAAAATTTAGTATCAAAGGACATATGTTCAGAAGCTCCGGAATCAATAATCCAAGAGCTTGTATTAACATATGTAAGATAGGCAAGGGGATTCTTGAAAATGTTACCAGCACACTGAACAACATTAGCAGTGACATCTGAGGGAGCAGAATCTGAGTTCCCAATCTGAGCATTTTGGAGCAACTGAACAAACTGAGTGAATTGAGCCTGAGTTATAGAACTGGAACACCCAGCTGTAGGATGCTCATTAGGAGAAATATAGGGAGTTGCTGGTGCAGGAGTTGTTAAAATGTCACGACCCGAAATTCCCACCCTCGGGAGTCGTGATGGCGCCTACTAGTGGGAGCTAGGCAAGCCAAACCTTAATTACCTTTTTCATTAACGTGTTACCTCTTTTAACAAATATCAGCAATCGCATGGAAACGATGGAATTTAATAATTAAGCGGAAGTCTTACATTAAAGAAACTGAATAAAAATGCAGAAATACAACAGAAGCCTCTACCCAAGAACTGATGTCACAGCGTCACAGACTATCTAAGATTTACTACATACAAGGTCTGAAGAAACATACAATAAACTGTCTCTGAACAAAAGATAATGAAACAGTGAATGAAGATAGAGGGAGACGCCAGGGCCCGCGAACGCCTGCAGGTCTACCTTGGGTCTCCGGGTGGACTGAAGGAAGCCCGCCAACTACTGATGTTGTCCAATACCTGGATCTGTGCAAAAGAGCACAGAGTGTAGTATCAGCACAACCGACCCCATGTGCTGGTAAGTGCCTAGCCTAACCTCGGCGAAGTAGTGACGAGGTTAGGACCAGACTACCAGATAAACTTGTGCAGTTCAACTATATATATATATATATATATATATATATATATATATATATATATATATATATATATACACACACACACAACGGAAAGAAATACAGGAAATAAACAGTCAATAAGGAAGGGAGGGACATGCTGTGGGGAGGCAACACTTACAAATAGGAAACCTCAATATAAGCAGCCCAAGAATTTACAGCGAACCAAGAAACGAATATCCAAAATAAACACACTTGAATCAACAACAGTTGCGGCGCGCAACCTGATCCTAATATATAACAACATTGTTGCGGCCTGCAACCCGATCCATAAATATCATTGTTGCGGCGTGCAACCCGATCCATATATATCATTGTTGCGGCGTGCAACCCGATCCATATATGTCATTGTTGCGGCGTGCAACCCGACCCATAGATATCATTGTTGCGGCGTGCAACCCGATCCATATATGTATATCATTGTTGTGGCGTGCAACCCGGTCCATATATGTCATTGTTGCGGCGTGCAACCCGATCCACGAATATCATTGTTGCGGCGTGCAACCCGATCCACATATAATATTAACAACAACCATAACAAGAGTCCCGACAAGGGATCAATAAGGTCTACACTATCCCGGCAATGAATTCGACAGCATAGGTAATTACGTCCCGGCAAGGGAGAAACAGCTATAACCAAACTTGTTACAATACCTAACTACCTCAACTATAACCAAACATGTTACAACACCTAACTACCTACAACACATAACTACCTCAACAATAACCAAACTTGTTACAAAACCTAACTACCTCAACTATAACCAAACATGTTACAACACCTAACTACCTCAACTATAACCAAACTTGTTACAACACCTAACCACCTCAGCTATAACCATAATACTTACCCAACACAAAGAATCATCAACCTAAACATCCGTATCAATTAAGAACACAATGCAAGGGAACAACAACTCAACAATATCCCGGCAAAGGGGCAACATAATAATCTCTTCTCTTTCTCACTTTTACTTCACAATTCACTTCACAACTCGAGCTAATGCTCCTCGAAGTTCATAGATCACAATTTCTTTCACATGCTCTTTTTATCATATAGAAGTCATCAATTAAGCATGGGAGATAGAACAAAACCAAATATTCGCAATATAAAGACTCACGGTCATGCTAGACACCAATGTATAGATACTCGTCACCATGACTATACATCGCACTCGACAATTAGCAAGTAGCAATTAAGACTCAACACCTATTCCCTCAAGCTAAGGTTAGACCAAACACTTACCTCGACTTCCACGGCTAAATCAATCCACAACAACCGCTTTCCCTCTCGAGTTCCGCTCCAACTCAATCAAATCTATACAATAATGACTTCATAATATCAATATATGCTAAACAAATCAAACCCAATGTCTAATTATAGGTTTCCAAGCTTTCTTCCCAAAAATCCCAAAATCGCCCCCGGGCCAGCTTGGTCAAAACACGAGGTTCGGACCAAAATCAAATCCCCCATTCACCCACGAGCCCGAATATATAATTTATTCTCAAATTCGACCCCAAAACGAGGTCTAAATCAAGAAAAAGTAAAAAGCCCTAGTTCTACCCATTTCCCCCAATTTCTACCCTAAATCACATGATTTAAGCTTAGGAATTCAATAAATAATGATGGAAAATGAAGAAAACGAGTTGGGATTTACTAACCCAAGAGGTCTTGATGAAAGGAAGCTTCAATGGATGCCTAAGGACCTTGGAGAAGAAGAAACTCGGATGTTTTTATGAAAATTTTGCGACTACACTGTTCTGAAACTTAAAAATATAACTGGGAAAAATTGCCCTTCGCGTTCGCGACAGGAGGGTCGCGTTCGCGAAGGGTAGGAGCTGACAAGCCATCGCGTTCGCAAGAGGGAGAGTCCGAACGCGAAGAGGAAAATACTGGGGGTCCAAGATTTGGCCTACGCGAACGCGTGAGGCCTTATGCGAACTCGATGAGTGAGGACAATAAGCTTACGCGATCGCGAGATATGGTATGCAAACGCGAAGGAGGAAAATCTGGGGCTTCGCGAACGAGTGAGCTTGTTCGCGAACGCGAAGAAGGGGGGGCTAAGGCAACGCGAATGCGAGATAGAGGGTGCGAGCGCGAAGAAGAAAAGGTCTGTGCACCTGTTGCAGATTTTTCTGCAACTTTGCTAAGTCCAAAACCACCCCGGAAACACTCCCGAGCCCTCGGGGCTCCTAACCAAACACATACACTAACTCAACAATATCCTACGAACTTAACTGTGCGATCAAATCGCCAAAATAACATCAAAAACAATGAATCAAACCTCAAAACCAATAGTTTTTCTTCAAACTTCATAAACTTTCAAATTTAGAACTTATAGTCCGAAACACGTCAAACGACGTCCGATTTCAACCAAACTTCGCAGAAATATCTTAAATCACATATAAGACCTGTACCGGGCGCCGGAACCAAAATACGGGCCCGATACCAACACGTTCTAATCGATTTTCATTTCAATTTTCCTTAATAATTTTATAAAAACAATTTTACTCAAAAATTCATTTCTCGGGCTTGGGAACTCGGAATTCGATTCCGGGCATACGCCGAGTCCCATAATTTTCTACGGACCCTCTGGGACCGTCAAATCACTGGTCCCGGTCCGTTTACCCAAAATGTTGACCGGAGTCAAATTTATTCATTTTAATATCAAAACTTAGCATTTTTCACAGAATTTTATATTTAAGCTTTTCGGCTACGCGCCCGGACTGTGCACGCAAATCGAGGCAACCCTAAATGAGGTTTTCAAGGCCTCGGAAGCACAGAATGAATAAGAAAACAAGTGATGACCCTTTGGGTTGTCACATAAAACAACATTACTCTTGATCCCTCCTTGAAACTTTGAGGTTCTAGTAAACTTAAAATCAGGAGGAAAACCAATGATCCGATAACATTTGTCAACAGAGTGACCTGGTTTCTTGCAGTGAGAACAAGTCAAGTTATTTTTCTTTCCCTTAAAATCATAGTGCTGAAGTTTCTGACTTGCAATGTTCTGTTCTGTAGCCAGGAAAGAAGAATAATCACCAGGGAACTATGGACTGACATAGACCTCGCGCTGCTTCTCATCTTGAATCAGCAAGGAGTAGGCATGATTGAGATTGGGTAAAGGGGACATCATCAGGATGTTGCTTCGAACAATGGCATAAGAATCATTCAAGCCCATGAGAAATTAAATGAGCCTCTCATCTTGAAGAGATTTCACCAGTTTAACCTTCCCCCCACAGATGCAATTGCAAGAACAAGTAACAGAAGAATAAAGAGAATCAAGCTCATCCCATAGCAACTTCAGCTTAGTGAAATATCTAGCAACATCACTAGAGCCCTGAGTTAAGTCACTGATATCTTTCTGCAGGTGATAGAGTTTGGCACCATTGGTTTGGCCAAACCTATCTTCAAGGTCAGTCCAAAGAACTTGGGCAGATTTGGAGTAAATAACACTGGAAACAATTTCCTTGGAGAGGGAATTCAGAAGCCAGGAGGTAACCATATCATCAGATCTAGCCCATAGGTTGAAGGAAGGAGAATCAGGAGGAGGAGACTTGCAGCTGCCATCAATGAAGCCCAACTTATTTTTAGCTGAGAGGGCAATGAGAAGAGACCTCCTCCAACCACCATAACCACGGCCATCAAAGGTGGAGGTGACAAGAGTCATACCAGGAGAGTTAGAAGGGTGGAGAAAGTAAGGGTGGCTAGTATCCAAAGAGACTGAACCGCCATGGCCAGAAGAAGCATCACTGGCAGTAACAGAGGGAGTAGGAGAGTCACTGGTAGTAACCATTTGGATTGATGAGAGAAAGAAAACAAATGAAGAGGAAAGAGAACTAGAAAAAAAAATAGGATCTAGATGGCGACTGATACCATGTAGACACTACTAGAAATCCAGAAAAAAGCGACCACAAAAAGCGACCAAAGTTGGTCGCTTATTGGCCAAAAAGCGACCAAACATGCCTGGTCGATATTAAGCTGGTCCCTTCACCTTAGGGACCAAAGTTGGTCGCTAATTAGCGACCAACTTTGGTCTCCCAGGTAAAAGGACCAAATTTTCCGGCAAAGCATATAGCGACCAACTTTGGTCGCTAAAGTATTTTAATATTATAAATTTTGCTACCAAAGTTGGGTCTCCAGATGTAAATAACGTTTTATTTTTATTTATTGCTATTCATATCAAGCGACCAACTTTGGTCGCTATATTAATAATTTTTATAATTTTTTATTTAATTTGCGACCAAAGTTGGTCGACAATGGCAAGAATTAATTTTTTTTTTAACTATGAGCGACCAACGTTGGTCGCAAAACTACCAGAAATTATTTTTTTAAAATAAAATAGCGACCAAGACTGGTCGCTATAGCCCAGAAAATTGTTTTTTTTAAGTGAAAAGCGACCAACTGGAGACCAAAGTTGGTCGCTTTTTTTGGTATATTTTTGGCAGAAACTGCCTGTTTTGGCTGCTACACCACTTGCCAGCTTATACCAAATATCCTAAATAGGCATTTTATGCCAACAACAACAACAACAACAACAACAACACTAAAAAGCAACAAAATATAAAGATCAATAGAACTAAAACATTAAGCTAACAAAACTAAGTTAACGTTTATTACAAGCTCATTCGAAAACTAGTTCTATTGTCTAGTCAAAGTATATAAAGTACTCAAGGAGTGTTCTTTTAGCATCCTCGTTCGAAAGTTGGATTGCCTCGGCCGACTCGTTAGGTGGCTGACTGCGTATGAATTCCCCCACATCAGCTGTGAAGCGAACCAATAAGAAAAATTATATTGAATTAATATTTCAAAATTTATATAAAAGTAAATCAAAATACTTAATGAAAAGTAAAAAACTTACATGTATAGTCGAGGCTCGACCCTCGACCCACCTTTCTGAATCAGTCTCTTTCTTCTTCTTTACAATACGAGTTTCATTGAATAGCTCATCTTGCTTCATTGGCATCATAAAGCTGTCCGGTGGCTTTGGTGATTATCCTCGTGGTACTATTACTCGGGATGTACTTGGATACAGAGAATAACTTGGATACAGTAGCTGACATGGTGTGTATTTTGATCAATTGTTGTTCTCGTTAGCGACAATGATGTTGAGACTGCAATGGCATGTGTTTCAACTAGTGATGGTATAGGCAGGAATTTTAACATTTCCTAAGTAGATAAAAGAAAGATTATAGAGGAATTTTAACATTTCCTAAGAAGTTTAATCGAGAGAGACAAGGGTGATGGTGATGGAATATTTACCGTTGGTCATGGCAGTTCCCATAAAACGGGGATCATAAGACTCTATGATGACAAAGATTATAGGAAGTTTTGTTCTCAACTTTCTTCCAAGTCTGATCCGTACAAGCTTAATG